ATCTATTAGGTCATTGATTTCTGTCATCCCCAAAGCACAGCAAAGTGGGATTGATATTTGAGTTATCAATAACGTAAATAACAGACAACTACAAAAATTACAAGTAAGAATTTTGGAAATTTTGGGTTTCTAATTCTTAAATGAAATAGGATGACTTGAGTTTGAAGAAATTGATGTTAAAATGGAAGTGAAGAAAGTGATCTGGACATGCATGGTGGCTCACACCTCTAATCCTGACACTCAGTGACTAAGGCAGGAAGATCACGAGGTGAAGGCCAAACTGAACTAGTATTGAAAACTTGTGTCGTAAAACAAAGGGAGAATGGGCAAGATGGCCTAGCAGGGGACCTACACGATGAGAGAGAGGATGGATTTCTGCAAGCTGTCCCCTGACCTCCATTGTACTATGGTACCCATATGCATGCGTGTATGCTAAATATATACAGAAATACTTCTTAAAAAGAACAGACAGTATTGTAACTATGAAGAAAGTACATAGGAAAGGTATAGTAGATCACTAAAAATAAAGCATAAGAACAAAAGGTATTTTATTTAAATTAATAGAAGTGCACATTACTAGAATGTAACCATCTTTTACATGATAGCTTGTCTTATCTTAGGAATTACTCCTTAGTTAATAACTAATCCATCCTAGAGATGGAAACTTACATGGTTAGTAATTCAAAATTGAATTATGTTGTCTGTAGCCCCTTAAAAAGTGAGATAGTAACCTTGCTAGCATCGCAGCTTCTCATAGTTTAGAGAGACTAATGGCTGTGTTGGCAATGGTGAGATACTTAAAATAAAAATGGTGAAGTACTTAATTTTTATAAGATTTTTCTGGCATTTACTAAGACTCAAAAGAAGAGTGAGTCAGTTGTAAAGTGCTTTTCTAGCATGTTCCAGGCCCTCGACCCCATCCTTAGCACTGCAAAACTGGGTATGCTTGTGCACTCAGAAGTTGGATCAGAAGGTCAGGGACATCCTCTGCTACCTAGCAAGTCCCATGCCAGCTTAGATTCCTGTCATAAAAAGAAAAAGAAATTAAACTGTTGTTCTCTGTACCGTCCGAGTTCATTTGTGTGCTAACATAAGACAGTTGACCTGGAGTGAGTAACTTTGTGTCTTCCTCTGTCATGACAGGAACAAGAACAAAAAGCAGAGGAAGAGAGAATCCGCATGGAAAACATTCTGAGTGGAAACCCTCTCCTAAATCTCACTGGCCCATCCCAGCCTCAGGCCAACTTCAAGGTTAAAAGAAGGTATGAAAAGTAATGGGTTGATAGATGTGTGTGGCCCATGATTAGTGTTACGTACGTTATATAAAGTTTCTAGGATCCTGCCTTCTATTGATAACCTTCCCAATCAGATTTTAGAATAACGGAAGATGGAAAGAGGTGGGTGACGTCATCTTACGCATACTTATAAAAACCAAGTCTCTGCTTAGTGATTGTCTAAATAAGAGAGCCAGAGTGCTGAAGTGCCCTTGACTGTAGCTACAAAACTTTACATGAGGTGTGAGTGTCAGGGTCCCCAAGACCACCCTGCACAATTCAATTCTAGAAGGATTTAGGGGACTTGGTATGGCCATATTCATGTTTGATATTATAAGACATACACAGATATACAGTTGTAAATCTTCATAGATATACATCCAGGTCACAAGGTAGAAAGATAGAGGCTTCCTTAAACTCCTGTTCCTTGTAAGAGGTCACCAAACAGTGAAACTAAAGTTGAGACTGGGTGTTCAAGGGAGTGGTCCAGTAGGAACTTATGTTGGATGAAAGTCAACTTAGTTGTGTGCTGTAGGCACAGTGATGTCAGAGAAGGTGCAGGTTTTCGGTGCCAACTAACCAAAGCTGAGCTAGAGTCAGGGCCGAGAGGGAACTCTTGTGTACCGTGTGTGGAGGGGCACAATAGAGAGCTGAAGAGGATGCCTCACAGGAGGTGCTGAAGCGGGAGTAGTGTGTGTGAGGGCGTGAAGAGCCCTGCTGCCTCACCTCTGCACACATCTCTTCTCACCTCCCCTGCGGCTCTCAGCAGGAAAGAAGCACTGCTCTGCCACTCTCCTGCTCACTCACCACCCCTCATGATAAAGCTCCGTCTTTGTCCAGCCTCTTCTCTCATCTCAGAACCATGGTTCTTTTAAAGTCACAATAACTGCTGCTTTTTCCTAAACTCATTGGTTCCTTTGCTTAATCACAATAAAAGTGCAGCCCTTGTAAGCTAAAAGCTTAACACAAATTCTTGAAAGACAATAGTACAGTCAGAGAGCTGCTTGCTGACAACTGGCAGTTTATAAGAACCCAGTCTCTACACGTTTGACCTGAGCAGTTACAAGGCAGGAACGAGGATGAGTGGCTTATGCTGAATGTAAAAGAGGGAACAGGTTTGAGGCATTGTAGGTTTGGAGTGCTCTGAACACTCTAAGTAAATCTAGCCTATGTGTCTCTGCAGTTTGCCTAAGCTGGAAATAATACATCTGGGAGTTGCCAGCATGGGCAGAGAAAAGTCAAAAGATTCTATCAGTACCTGAAGAAATGGCCAGTTATAAGTGTGTAGTAAATGCATATTAAATAGTATTTGAATTTAAAATCTTAGGCTAAGACTAAGCAGCCAGAGAAGAGGACAGCTAAGAGATTGACATAGTAGTAGTGGGAGAGGAAGGAGTGATGGTCGAGGGGTAGTGATGCAAGTGGAGAGAGTGAGGACCATATCCTAGGATTGCAGAGGGGCCAGGCAGTTTGGGTGTTGGGAGCAAGGGAGTGAGTTAGAGAAACTATCAATTACATGTTGAATATGAAACAAGCATTTGTAGATTCAGGAACAAATATCCCTGTCTCACTGAACTGTTCAGCTTTTAGTGTGTGCACTATATCAAGACAAATTTACTGCCATTGTTTCCATAAGTATGTATAGCTTTGCTCATTTCCCGTGTGCATTTTCTCCTAGTAAGCATGCACCAGCACATACAAGCATGTTACGTAAGCTGTGTCTAATGCATGTTTCTGAGTGTCTGTTGTATGTAAGGACTTATGTTTATATAGGTTGTCATGGCTCTGATGTTACATACTTTCCATAACACCTGCCTATGGGTGTGTTTAGTGTTTTCTGAAATGTAACCGCGCTCTACTCTGAGCACTTCAGCAGGCATGGGCCAATCTATAAATCTTAATTGTTACACTCCTATAGTTCCTCCTTGTGTTACGATGTGTGTCTTGCTGGATATAACTGATAACAGGAATGTATGGGACCGTACAAAGCACAATGAACGATAAAGCATCACTTACTGTCTGATGATGTCTGGATCAAGACAAGTGGGTTTTAAATCTGAAAATACCACACCTTTACCTATGCACAATCTATGTGTCTTCTTTGTAACTCAGACTTGCTGCTACTAGAGAAGTATGTGCTCTGAGTAGGGGTGCCCTCCTGCTGTGACAGCCTCGCACAGTAGGCATGCTGCTGCTTTTGCTGTCAGGGGACAGCATGTTGAGCATCTGTGATGACTTACAGTCTGTTGTGTTTCTGTCTCCTGATGGAACTATAACGAATTTGTTTTTGGTTTTCCCTCTTTAGGTGGGACGATGACGTCGTCTTTAAGAACTGTGCAAAGGGTATAGACGATCAGAAGAAAGACAAGCGATTTGTAAACGACACGCTGCGATCTGAATTTCACAAGAAGTTCATGGAGAAGTATATTAAGTAGTACAGTTTTATGTGCTTAATTAAAGACTAAAATGTTAAGGATCAATTTGACTTTTTTGATTTTTGTTCTTTCCCAGTTTTAACTTTCTCAATTTATTTCTCTTAGTGTGGTACTTTATTGGATAATGGATTTAGAAATGGGTCTAACCAGGCCTTAGTTTCTTTTTAATATGTGAAAAGGGTAATTTGCTTGTAATAAATATTTTTAACCTAAATAAACCACTATCCCCAACTTTTTGCTATAATTTATACAGCTTATAAAAAGTTGCATCATTTCTTTTCAAGATGAAAATTACCTTTGTGTGCTGTGTTTTTAATGCATTAAGTTTTCTCCTTTATCTCACTTTGGTTTGAGGCTGTTGGTAGATGACATCATTGTTTTGTAAGTGTGGAGGAGGCTAAGAGGGAACCCACTTGACAGACCATGTGTATTAATTAGTCAGGGTTCTCTAGAGCCACAGAACTTAGGGCAGTCTCTATATAGTAAGGGAATTTCTTGATGACTTACAGTCTGTAGTCCAACTCCCCAACAATGGTCAGCAGCAGCTGTGAATGGAAGTCCAAGGCTCAGTCTCACAAGGCAAGCAGGTGAAGAAGAGCAAGTCTTCCTTCTTCCAATGTCCTTATGTAGGTCTCCAGCAGAAGGTGTGGCCCGGATTAAAGGTGTGTGCCAACACGCCTGGATCTAGGACTTGCCTTAGTCTCCTGAGATTAAAGTCGTTACTACCTTGCCTGGGCCTAAGCTTTTCATAGCCACTATACCTCAAGATCAGGATCACAGGTGAGCCTTCCCAATTCTGGATTGTTCTTCATTCCAGATATAGTTAAGTTGACAACCAGGAATAGCCACCATACCATGTCACCATTAATAGTCACTTGGGGTGGCTCAGGAGATGCCTGCTGTTCAGTTCTGAGGACAATGTTCTATTCTTTTGGCCTATGATATGCATTCCCATGACAGTGAATGCCACTCATTTATGTCCTTTTGGTTCTTGAGTTAGATACTTGTCCACACACTGATCTGCATGAGATACAAAGCTGCATGGAATTTCACATCAAACACACAAAACAGCTCTTTGAATGGCTTATTATTGTGAGAGCTATAACTATACTAAAAGGCTTAATTTTTGAGAAATGTGACTCTCAGTGTGCCACTTTAATAGAAAATTTGGGACCACAAATTGAGCCTTTCACAAGTGGAATGCCATTTTTAAAGTTGCATTTTGCTGTGTAGTCTATGCAGCTTCACCTCAAAACTGCAATCTTCCTTTCTCAGCCTCGTAAATGCTGGGATTATGGGTGTCGGCAATCAGGACTGGCTCAAACTTTACAATAACAATTGGCGTGTAATTGGTTATCTAGTTATTTTCTTTAAAAACCCTATTAATTTGAGGACGAGTTAATATTGATTAACTTGACTCATTAGTTAATAAGGTTTACCATTCTTGCAGAGTACATTGAATTCCTGTAACTGCAGTTTTGGGGGACTTAATGTCCTTTTCTGACCTTCATGTCCTATACCCAAACACATATAGAAAAAGAAAAGAAAAATGGGAATCCATCCAGCGCTTGCCCAATGTAGAGTTGATGCAGTTGTATGTAGCCTGAATTGAAAGTAAAGCTAGGAGAGGAGCTAGGTCTGCATCCTGCATGCACGGTCTATGTCTTTGTAAAGATCCTTTTTCTTATTTGTAGTATGGTTGTGGTTGACTCCAGAGCCCTGTGCAACTACCCTCTTGCAGAGCCTCTGCCACTCTGAAACCAGTTTTACATTCAAGCTCTTAAGCAATTTCTCATTTCATTTTTGCAAAATACACTGTTCTCTCCTGGCCTGGTTTCAGAGCACTGTAAGAGGGGAGAAGAGGAGAAGAATGTCTGCCAGATTTCCTTCCCAGAATAATTTTACCCACTCTGTAATCCAAGTGGCTTCCTTTCTTGACAAAGGGGAGGGGGACAGTGGATAGGGAAAGGTAAGCTAACTAGAAGCAGCTGCCTCAGTACACACACACACACACACACACACACACACACACACACGTCAGCATGTGTCAGAACCCGAAGCAAAGGAAGGGTCTTAGGACCTAAGTGTCTTTAGGACTCCTTGAAAGTTTCCTGGTCCTGTGCCTCTTCCAAAAGATAGTTAAATAAGAACTGGGCCCTGAGTGTCTCCCTTGAGCATTTCCTTCTAAGAAGCAAGCTGTCAATGAGGAGAAAACCCAGGATAACTAACAGCATGTCTATGCAGCAAGGTGTTTCCTGTGCCACAGGCCCTATAGGCACCAGTTCCTAGCCAGACCACTTCCTATCAACTGGCTAAGCTGCTCTCATGCCAGCCTCCTCCTAAGCCCTTAGTGAATGGTAATCAGAATAAGAAACAGAAGCATTCACCATAACTTTAACAAAAATGTGCTGGAATTCCGAAGAAAATTCTCAACACTCCAATAAGTCACTAAAAAGACCTTAATAAGCGAGAGGATTTATTTATTTTAAACTACTAGTTTAAAGTTAGTTCTCTGACCAAAAGAAATCAAGATTCCATGGATTCACACCTTTAAAAAAAAATTAATATTTGGTCAAATTATTTTAAGATTTGACAAGAACAAATATGTAATGGTGTGTCATGTCTTTAATCCCAGCATTCTGGAAGCAGAGGCAGGCAGAGTTCTAAGCCAGTCTGGTTTGTATAGTGTTCCAGGCTAGGTAGTACTATATATTGAGACCTGGTCTTTAAAATATAAAGACTAGGTTATGAGGGCCCAAGCACACAAGGAAGTGCCTAGACGACAGCGTGGCCAGGAGAGTCGTGTAGTGAGTGTGTAACTGGTGGAGTGATGGGGGAGAAAGAAGCAAGCAGATAGGTGGTGAAGACCTGGAAGACAGAGGAGCCGGGCAGATGTACACCATGAAGAGGAGGGACTGGAGAACCTAGGCAGTTGCTGTTATTGCGGCTTGGGAAATAGTGAATTACACTGTTCATCAATGGAGCCAGTAACAAATGCAAGTACTGGTGTGCATTTGCCTTCTTCCTTTGAGAAAACCCACCACTGTGAGTCACTATGACTCCAGACTGTATCCTAGCCCAGGAAGAGGAGGAGCAGGACCTGTAGAATGGAGACCCACAATTGACTCATGCCTTGCTCCATTTACTTCTCGTCATCGGCCTGTCTGCTCGTCTCTAGTTGGTTGTGGCTGTGGTTCAGCCATAAGACTGGAAAACTGTATATTGAATTACAGTTTTACTGTGCCGTGTTTTAACTTTGGCCAGAGATGTATTTCCTTTGGAATCTTTGGGGGCAGGCAGACATTTGAAGACACCCAGAGGCCCTGCCTGTTGTGTGGCCTGCCCACAGCATGAGGCACTACCATGTGCAAGTTTAGGCTGGAGAGATGGGAGAGAAGGAGGAGCGGAATGGTTTGAACACTATGAATTCAGGCAGTTATGGAGACACAGGGTTGGAGAGGAAGCCTGGGGTGAGTAGCCCGTGATGCCACTTGAGGCCATGGTGAGCTCTTTCCATAATGCCATGTCTGTGACCACGCAGCCACAGGTCTGTGTAGGTGTCTGTGGCCCACATTAACACCAAAGGGCATGCAGCCGTCATGCAGACTCAGAGTTGCTGCTCATCTGCCGTTTGGTAGTGTGAGCAAGGAAGAGATACCCTCCCCCCATCTTGCCCCTTGACTCCTCTGGCAGGTGGCGAAGCTGGCCCTGAGGTCATGAGAGCATGAGAGCTGTCCCTGCCGGTCACCTGATGCAGCACTTGGGAGAGCTGACCCTCCACTTTGCCTGGCCAGCACAGTAGAGCTGATCCTGGTGGCGGGGGCATGGGTGAGGCAGCTGAGGGTGTGGGAGCAGGAGAGCTGGCAGTGACCTAGAAGTAGCAATGCTGGAGAGCTTGCCCTGGTGGTGAGGATGTAGGAGGGCTGGCAGGCTGACCATCTCAGCTACCAGGCCCAGGTCCACGGCTTTGAGTTGGCCCACCCCAATATCTACCCCATCTATGATCTGCTGAAGCATGTGAAGGGGCCATCGGTCCTGTAGATCAAAAGCTGCAGGATCTCCGTGACAGGACAAGATATCCAAGAGGAGTCGCAGTAAGGATCCAGAATTGATAATGTAGCGAAAGCCAGAGGCCTAGAAGCAGACCAATGATTGATTACAATGAACATTTGTAAGAAAAGATGTGTGGACAAAAGGGTGTAGTGTGAGGCACACTGTGACACATGATAGCTTCCAGGGTGATATTTTTTTGTTTCCTTTTGTGGGAGCGGAGGAAGATTGCAAGGGCAGAGGGTGGATGCAAAGGGATGGGAGTTGAGTTGGAAGGGGGTGCATGATGTAAAATTCACAACGAATCAGTAAAGAGTTAAAAAATAAAAAGAGTAAGTGTGTATCGATGTTCAGAAAAATATCTAGCAGACAATAGTAAGAATCTTACCTACGTTTTAAAAGACTAACCCCCGACTCCCAATACATGGACATGTTTGTTCATGAGGGTATGGCCGTGTACAGCATGCATGCAGAGGCTAGAGGACAACTTTGGGTGTTGGCCCTTACATCTTACTTTGTATGAGGCAGGCTCTTTTTTTTCTGCCGTGTTGCATACTCCATGCTAGCTGTCTTTGAAGCTCCAGGGATCCACCTGTCTTCCCCTCTTGCCTTAGGCATAGCAAGGTTACAGAGAGATACTACTGAATTCAGCTTTCATGCAGGTTCTAGGGGTCCAAGCTCAGACTGTCATGGTTGCACCTTTATCCACTGAATCATCTCCCTGACCCTTTCCTACCAGTTTTCAAATGGACTATAATTACAAAATTATCAGTATGTTTCTGCTGCAAATTGGAGAGCTCATAGACTATCATGGTTTCACACCCAACATATACTGTAGCAGAACATAGATGAGTCTTTTATAAGATGGTGTAGGCTGGAGTCTCTAGTAGATTCTTCAAAGGAAGAAGCACATTTCAAGTGTCCAGTGTTGGCTTTTCACATAAATCAACATGTTAAAAATCCTGTCTGTTTGCTCTAGATGTCAAGGAAGATGTTCACAGACTAGTCTGGGCTCAAAATAAATACCAAAGCTGATACCTAAAGTGTTCTCATAGGCACATTCCTATAGAGGGCACAAGGTCTTTGTGTTCACCAATAAACACTCAGGAACCCAGGAATGTTAAACACACAGGGTGCACACAAGGGATCCATCTGGAAATGGGTGTTGTTTTCCGGCCTGGTGATGTCTGTGTTATCT